TTGTTTTTTCCCATACCTGAAGCAAGAAAGCAGAGGGTGACAGCCAATCGCTCTCCTGGCTTTATTGATTCTCTGATCTTTGTTGTTTGTGTGATCGCCAAAGTCGTCCTATAGTGTGCTACCTCAATTTAAATTGCGGCGATATTTGTCGCCAAAGTCGTCGCCTAAGTTGTCGCGTAGTGTGCGCCAGGCTTAAGTTGAATATATTTAATTACAGATAGCCAAATAGAATTGATCTCTTACTATTAGAATGTGACATTTCAATTTGACAACAGCAACCCAAAGCTTTGCTGTGTATATTCCTAAAGTGTGAACAATAAAGTGGGGGACCCCTCAGGACTACATCTTATCGTTAATGCCATCCGGTGCGAATGTTCTTAAAGTGTGAATCCATTTGAATTCATTGGCTTTCCTTACGGCATCGTTTTTGCCGTTATCTGGGTCAGAAAACTAATAAAAAATTAGTGCATACACGCCCATAACCTAATCGAGTTATTTTTAAGCCCTCCTTAGTTTAGGAAACTTTAAACTTGGAGATCAAAAGGGTTAGGAGCCTTGAGTCAATGCAAATAAGCATAATCATGACGGCAAATTCTTAGCCGAATATCTTTGCACACTTTTTGGAATAATCGACTCCGGTGCCAAAGATCGACTCCGGTCCATCTGTGACATCACATGTGCTCCGGTGCCCACCGACACTATATATAGAGGGCCACCACACATCCTCATTTAAGCCTGAAGAGTTCGAATAAGAACGAAACTAGTAGCTGAGAGAAATCTGGGAAGGCTGTTCGCCTATTTACAGGTTTTTTACTTCCTAAAGTGTGGTTAAGTCCACCATAACCCACCCTCAAAAAGGAAATTCCTTTGTTTGTTTTTTTAAAAAGTGGCAATAAGCCAAGTAATTTACTGCCATATTCTGCATAAATGTGTCTTCGGAAAGTTCAACTAATCCAAATGGCATTTTGGGGTCCTAAAAATAATGAGGCCAATATATTGTATTCCATCAAATCATGAATTACAAATATAAAACAAACATATGAAACCAATTTTAACCATTAACTGACATGCAATGAACTGGGACTTGAACTATAGTTATAATATCATTCATTACCTCTAGCTGAACATTGTAGGAATTGTTTGTATTTTAATAATCGCGAAAATAATCACAAGTATTTCAATACATCTACCTGATATGGAAATACATCTTTTAATGATCTATTTATATTATTAAATAATGTGTGGCTGTTAATTTCTTTCACCTCCAAATATTCTCCATCACAAGAGTTTAATGTCACCATGGAAAATGAAGAGTTTGCAGGACTATGCCAACTTATTAACAACCAAGTTAATTTGATATTAGTTGATACTGTATGTGGAATTTAGAGTTGTATGTTATGAAACTCCTAGTGGGCCATTAAAGGGGGTACAAGAAGAAAATTATGCTTATATAGGCTAGACATCTTACAGCATGTAATAAAAAAAATTACATTGATTCAACGATATATCATGCCAGCAGTAAGTGGTTTGAGAGAACTACATACTCATTTTTCTTTGCAACAGGGCCATCCCTCCAATAATTTGCAAATATGCGTTTATTAGTTTAATATGCCCCCAGAACCCCATTTGCAGACAGCTCACCCCCACTCCCAATATAAATTTCTTTCGGACGGGCGTGTGTAAATACACTACAATATAAATTTGATTTTCAGGCATGTTGGATAGGCGGTATTTAAATCTGGCTATTCAAGATGATTTGTGTGAGAGTGTTGGTATTTTTTATAATCATAGGGTGTAGCATTGGGTTTGGATTGGAAAGAAAATAAACAACAGATTCACATTTGTTTCCATCAAACACAGCCTAATACAAGTTTGTCAAATCTTCCACATAATCGAGATTGGTCAATCATTAGAGATATACAACAATTAATTTGTTCAGTGTTGGATAAAAATATAACACTGAATGTTTTTGGTTATTTTCTATATCATTTGAACCAAGGACAAACTAAACAAGGCAGTTAAGTAAATTAGTAAATGCAATGGAAAAACATTTTATCAAATTTCCTGTAATATGATTTTCTGTATTAATAAGCTATTATGATTGGATAGTTAACAGATAATTATATTGTATAGTTTTAGTGTTATTAAATTAAATTAGCACCTAGCATTTATAAATAATTAATACCAATAATCGTCAAGAGAAACAACTTGTAGGTGGTAATATACAATACCTAATAAATATCTATGGACAGAGTGTACAATGATAACTGCAAAACCCTTTATTCATATAATATACATATGCAGTATTTCACTAATATTTGCATTCAAATATAGTTTTTAAAGGCTATTTGAGCCAATTTTTGTTATGAGTTTTTCCACCTATATTAAAACTAAAGTAATTTTATTCCTACATGTATTCACTAATATTTGCATTCAAATAGTTTCTAAAGGCTATTTGAAATTTTGAATTCATTTTTGGTATTCGTTATTTCATGTATATTACATAAAACTGGAGGAATTTTATCAGGGGGTTTCATAGGAAATATTTGATATATTATTAATTCAATTAAATCGAGTTAATATTCCAAACTAAATAAACAGATAAAGAAAAATATATTGGTTTGAAAGAATCATAATTTTAAAAAAATGATAACATTAAATCAAATATTCAGGCCCTAAAATCAGCATTCGTAACCACAAATTAAAGAAGCTAAAAATCTAACTCAATATTTTCCATAATATTCAAAATTAAACACGAATTAGAATGCAATATTGATCAATTTCAATAAATATTGATGTTGTTACCTTACCATGAAAATATGGGATCCAAATATCAAATATTTAAGACATTTATGGTTTTGGATGCCATTTGTAATTAACCTATTTTTGTCAATTTTAAGATTTCAAAGAATAGAGCCATACACTCTTTAAGCATGTAGTATTAACAAGTAAAACAAGGGCCATAACTCAAGAAGTAATTGACGGAAATTGGTGGAATTCAATAGGCTTCATACACTTTATACATATGGATGATAACTTTGGTCATTCGAGGTCATTAGGTTCAACAAAGTGAAACAAGGGCCATAACTCCAAAACAATTATTGGAAATTGCTGAAATTGAATAGGCTTCTTCGTTTCACTAATTTAAATGATGCATATAAATTTCATACAGATTGGATGATAACTTTCATCATTCGAGCATTCACAAGGTTCAACAAAGTTAAACAAGGGTGATAACTTCAGAAGAAATTAACATAAATTGCTGAAATTCAATAGAATTCTTCATTTCACAAATTTAAATGATTCATATACAGATCGGATGATAACTTGTCATTAGAGCGTTCACGGGGTTCAACAAAGTGAAACAAAGGCCATACATGTAACTCTACAAATTAATGGAGATTGCTGAAATTCAATAGGCTTCTTCGTTTCACTAATTCAAATGATGCATATAAATTTCATACAGATCAGATGATAACTTTTGTCGTTAGAGCGATCACAATGTTCAACAAAGTGAAACAAGGACCATAACTCTAGACATAATTAACGGATTTTGTTGAAATCAATAGGATTCTTCATCTCACTAATGTAAACAACATATATCAATTTAAAAACAATCAGATGATAAATGCAGTCTGTAGAGTGTTTACAAGAAATTGTAGACGCCTGAAGGACCGAAAGACGCCGGACGGGGGCGACGGCAATATACAACCATATTTCCATGTGAGCGTATAAAAATAAAGCTAAATTCCGAACTTTAATATTATGAGTTAATCATAGCATTGCATCTTCATTAACCATAATTATGATTATTATTTGGGTGTGTTTCTAATACAATAGATATTTAATACACAATATAACATTTTCAAAGCAACTTTATCAAAATGTTTCATTATGTGTTTTTGTACACCCATAGTAAGTACACAATGTATTTATCTATTCAAAGTTTAAAATGTACTTTCAAAGCAAGAAAATACCTACATATGTATCACTGTTTCAAAATTTATCAAGCTGGTTTTAAAATGAACTTTAAAAGGAGGAAATAACTTCATATTTATCATAGTTTCATATTTTATCAAGCTGGTTTGGTGTTTTTTTTATGTCCTGTTCTACCATATAAACTGTATTAAAAAAAGTAGGCATTTAACATTTATATACCTACCTATGTAATTATATCTAATACTCCCCACTGATTATGTATTATCCATTAGCTAATTAAAACAAGGTTACTGTGACAGATATAATAATATTTATACTGAACAAACATTTCTATTATATACATAAAATATATAATATTACACCGATACCTAGCTATAAATGTATTATTCTATAATATACATCTGAACTGCACTGTTGAAAGTTAAGAATGCATATGTGCAATAACATAATAATATATACACACACATACTTCTGTAAATGTGACAATTTGGTTCATGTATAATATAATATATGCTATCTGCAGAATGCTAAATAAAAATTTACCAGTTTCCAGTCATTTGTTAAAGCTAAACATAAAGTTATTTTGCATATAAGTTTGCTGGTTGTTTGGGTATAATTTTCACTGGAAAACTGAATACTTTACACGGATACACCTTTTTTTTTAATACAGATATAAATATAATAAAAGCTAGGTATCATATTGAGGGGCTGAATTTCATGCATATCAACAAGAACAACAAAATTCTATGTTTTATGTTGGGGGCGGGGGTCAATGTATAATGCTGAAAATTGATTCCTTGGACTTGCAAATTCCATAACTATATACATAAACGTCAAAAAATATAATTTAATCATTTAAAGATAATAACAAAACAACATTCAAAGATATAACAAATCATTTAGTGTTTGCTACAATTGCAATAATTATGCTTGTAAATGTTTTGAAACTTTTCAGTTTGCCTCAGCTAATATTGTGCATTATAACTGTACAACGCCTTAAAGGTAGTTTAACGGAATTGGTTGAGCGCGAAATCACGGAGAAGAATAAAAAGAAAACTTACCTGTTAATAAAAGACTCGTAAAGTAAATCAAAAGTTGGAACATCATTTCGTGTTGTAATAATTAAACATGTCAAAAACAAACTTCAGTTGGACACAGAGTAGAAATCACTGACCGTTGCTCTTGAACACAACTCACGTGCATAATACCATAACTTTGATGTCAGAAACTTTCACCGTTGACCACAGTAAGGTCAAAGAAGAGAGCGCCACTAACTTAAACTACCAACAATAAGTTGGTATTTTTCCAATTTGCAAAACATTCACAGCATCTGTGACCGGATTTAAAAGTGAGACAGACAAGTTCTACGAGAAAGTCGGGTGGATATTTCACATACTTTCGGTCTTACTAGCGTCTATCGATTGCTGCTAGTCGGAAAGAAACGGTCTGTACATAGCCAAACTAACTCACTCACTTCAGCCATTCTAACCAGTCCACTTCGCTCCACAACACAAGCCAATCATCAGCGAGGTTGAAGTTCACGGATTAGTTTAATGAAAATTAGCCAAAATGGAAATTACTTTAAAAAAAATATTGGAGTTATTGATTAAGATGGAATCAAAAATATTTTAAATAGTTAGGCCTAAATATAAAGAGGGCAGTGACAGAAGGGAAAAGGTTGGCCGCTTTTCTAACAAGGTGACAGAAAATACGAGATATACTCAAATGTAATTTTTGTGGGAGAATTACTGACAGCGCCTGTCAAAATTACATGATCATAACTAAGCTAAGCAGGAAGTTAATAGCTAAAACTATCAATATTATTTATTCCGCTGTGTGATATAAACCATGTTGTTTTAAACCCGATAATTCTTATTATTTAACAAACTTTTGATTAAATTATCATAAGGATTATATTGTTTTAAATTATTCTATATTAGTATTAAATGTTTGTTCAACGGCAAAAGAAAGCAGTGTTAAAGATAATATAAAAAAAAACAAGAAGAAAGGTCGCCGCCCTGCTGCCCTGGCAAAATTATATCATAATGTAACGGATATTATAATATCCTAACGGTGTGTACGATCAAACGGGACACTGAATTTTGTAAGGCAGCTTGTATGTTTCATTTTTCCTAATACGTAAGTCTACGACAATTTGTCGGACTTTAGTTTGTTTTATATAGCCGATAATTCGTAGAAATTGATCATAATAATATTAAGTCGGGTTGATATTTCTGATTTTAAATAAGTACGTACCGATATCCCCGAAGCTATCACAGCGAACATATCGGCTTCTTTTCAAAGCAACGGCAAAGAGTATTATTTAATATCAGATCTGATGATGCTCGATCGTACAACTACTTCTGGTACATGGCTGACGAAGTGTTGCATTAAATTATTTCATTATTACATATTTATGTTTTTAAAGAATACATGTCATAATAACCAATCTTTGTTTCAATCCCTTCAAATGCCTTGTACGCCCGTAAGTACACGCACGAAGTTCAACATTATGTATATATATATTTTTAATATATGGTTGTATTGACAGCCTGTAGACAATATAAGCTTTAATAAGACAGACATCGGAACAGATAAATTTCTCTGGAGGAATAGTCCTGACTGTCAGAAGACATCCAATTACGCTAATTATATTAGATTGTAAATATGTTAGGGTATCGCGTATATTAATGTTCATGGAACACGTGTATAGACTGATCGTTAGAATTATATGGTTCTTTGAAATGGCCTGCAAAAGAAATAATCTATCACGATTTACGAATATGATTTTGTACATTTTAAAGTTGCAATTTCATATTTTTCAGTTATATTTTTAAAATTTATTAAAATAAAGCCTCAAAATAGATGGTATCTATAAACAGTCCTACCTTGTTAAAGAATAATCCTATTAATCCTATAATTCACTATTGCCAGTTGAGAAATTGGCAAAAATATCATTTTCTTCTTCAAATTCAAACGTTTGAAGATAGCTACTCAATGGTGGAGAATAGAAAACAAGGGAGGTAATTGTGTTATTATTTCCGGTGTAAATGAGTTTTAAGTTTGCGAATGACACCTATGATCGTATAATAGTGAGTTAAAAACCTATTGAGCAAAAGACATAGAAATAATTATGTTTTGACTTTCTTAGAAAATATGAAATTGTAACTTTAAATGACCAATGACCACGAGGCGATATGCTATTCGTCTCTCATTTCAGAGGATTTTAAGCAAGGTTTTTAAAGATAAGCTATCAATTTTAAGATTAGCTATCAATTTTTAAATTGATAGCTAATCTTTAAAAACCTTTGATTTAAAAATCAATTTTTAAATTGATAGCTAATCTTTAAAAACCTTGCTTAAAATATTATGACGCTTCACTATATGTTTTATCAATTTAATTTTAAAGATATATCATGCAAGATTTAGATAAAGAGCTGGCCGTTCTTGCTATAATAGTTCAAAAATAGATAATTCAAAATGAATATATTGAAAATTCCATTTAAATTACTTTATTCTGAGCCAAGTTATCATTGTTTGTAGTTTTGACAAGATGTGTGTATTGATCGTTTATTATCGTGATTACGGCACGGGTATATTTGAGACTTAAACTCACTGCTCCATTAAATTAAATCATTAAACGGCCGAACCGTTCTAATCTAGTTAATATCTCGAGCATCCGATGGCACCGAGAGTTGATTTTAGTCTTGTAATGGTAATAAATGTCTAATTCATAATTCATATAACATTTAAGGCCTAACGAAAGACCTGTAATAGACAAATTTAGCTTTGAATAATGTATCTTTAAATGCATGAAATGAGTTTTAACTTCCTACTTTTTTGTCCCAACAGGTCTAATAAAGACGGGGAATACGCCATGCAATGTGCTATGAGGGCAGTGGCGGCGCCAGCCGTCGGTGATTAGAGGGGCAAAGCTGGGGCAAAGTCCAAGGTTAAGGGGGCAAAGGCACGAGCTTCAACTAGGGGTAGGGGGCCTCCCCCAGAAAATTTTGAAAAACAGATTGCCGGAAATGCAGCCTGGCAGTATTTCAGGCACTGATCGATGAGGTAAAGTGTCAAACGAACGGACTTGCGAATCACGACGAAGCCCACTCACGAGCGTCAAAGTAGGGAGTCATCCCCCAGAAAATTTTGAAAAATAGACTGCCGGAAATGTTGTCTTACAGTATTCTGTCAGGCACCGATCGTCGAGATAAATAGATCTTCCCAGATACTGTTCGTCGCCTGATCACTAGTTTATATCCGACTAGAGAACAAAATGTCAAACGAATGGACTTGCGAACCTCAACGAATTAACGAATTCCCCTTGTGAGCGCCAAAGTGGCGAGTCCATTTGGGACCTCGCCAAGAAAATTTTGAAAAATAGAAATGCTCTACAACATGCAAGTTTATGACTGAGTGGGGATGTGAGAGAGAGAGAGAGAGAGAGGGAGAGAGAGAAATGGGGTTTAACGTCCACTCGACACAAACTAGGTCATTTCGGGACTAACATATGGTTTAATTTAATTTACATAATTCGCTTGCGCGTATAGGGGTCTTTAGCAGTGGGAGGAAACCGGAGGTTCCCGGAGAAAACCCACGAGGTTGGACAGGCGACCCTACTCCTTGCCACGTACAACCGGGGATTCGAAACCACGTCAGTCGACTCAATGACAGATTTATGATACAGCGCGCGCACGCTAACCATTCAGCCATTTATTCACCGTAGAAGGTATTGATTACCGAAACGTATCACAAATACTTTTTTTTATTTTCTAAAATAATTGGGGGGGGGGGGAAACAGGAGGCAGACCATGCCCCCCCCCCTTGCCGTCCCACCCCTGGCGCCGCCACTGTATGAGGGACATTTTTAAGTGAACACAGGGCATCCGTACGAATAGGCCCCCCACCCTGCAGCACTCCGAGGGGAAACTACGCTGGAAAATCCCGGGTAACTTTCTCAGCCAACATTGGGATCGAATCCCGAATCTTCTGGTTAGTGAGTAAGCGCCCACCGAGTCACCGTGGTTCCCCCCAATTTAAGGTTTATTTTGAAGATGTCTATCTTAAAGGAGCTAAATCGCTAATATTTGGGACCTAGAAATTGACCAAAATGGGTCGAAACGCATATAATAATGTAATCTGATTGTATATAAACTGATTTACATTCAATTGTTTCCTTTTTTACTCTAATTTCAAATCAGTTATGTCCAGCGAAATACAGCATGTGTCTCAACCCTATAGCAATTTCTAGCGTCTGGTTATTCCAGTCTATTAAGCAGGCTCTCCAGTTGAATATGTCTAGCCTCGTTCTTTTTGGTCACTTGTCGAAAATGACGCTAAAACGCACTATGGTACACGATTCGTGTACCAATGGTAAAATGTTTATTTTGTCTTAAATATTGGATATCAGAAGCCTGCCTTTTCTTGCTAAGATCACAACATCAATGTTGATTTGAATTGACAAATAATTCGTATTTTCAACGTGTAAGACTTTGGATGATATTGAGTTAGAGACTTAGTTACTTTAAAGTTTTAAGACGAGATATGTATTTTTCACCAAAAATTATAATTGTCACTGTAGTTTGGATATAGTTAAGTTTAAGTAAATAGGAGGCGGATAAACGGATGAGACAATTTGTCTAAATTAGAAATGAACAAGTACGTGCGTACTATATGCGTGCGTACTATATGAACCAGGAAACGAACATGGCGTCATCACCGCCACCTTGGAATTGGCATATCAAAAAATTGTCCAAGGGACACGTATGCCAATTTTCATGTCGTTCGTATTTAGTGAAGCCTTTGGTCGCCTCAAGAACAAGAACAAGCTGGGTAGCGCACAAATCAGGGATGTGCAATGGGGACTATACCCCCTTCTAGCTGACCAGATATTTCGTAAATGCTTTTACTTTATAGAATCTTTTTAAACCGTCTAGTGAATTTGAAATCACTGGCCCTCGTGCCCCACCTGTCTTTTAAATAATCTCGAAAATGAGACAAAGTGCTATAAATCTTTCGGGTTGATTTGTTATATTTTGCAGACATGCGGGAAGGGGGTACCAACAACAAATGCTCCCCCTTTTGTAGTCTGCGTTTTTTGGGTTGCCTCCCCTGGGGTAAGTTGGTTTCATGTTCTGTATCACTACAGATCCGTTAATTTACATCGCAGATATAAAGACCAGACATCGGACCCATTCATTCACTTGATTTGATGGTCTTTTATTATTTATTAATTACAGATTCCGTGTTTGTGATTGTAAAATATATTCCATATCTGTTAGACCAGAAGAGTCAGGTCAACAATATGTCAGCAGTGCGGTGTGTGTGTGTGTTTGTGTCCATTGTTGTTTCTTACATTCTTCTTATTCTTAATACCACTACATAGGCTGACAATCTTGCTCTGGTTGCGGGTTCGTTTTATGGGTTTATGTTTGGCTGTTATCGTGTGGTGTGGTTCTCCTGCATTTACCAGTGGAGGGTCCCTCTCCGGGTGCATCGGATCGTAA